GGCTGAATCTAGACACATTCTTTTTGTACACTCTGAGGCACAAAATGCCAATAAAAACTGTTCTGTCGACCAGCAATAAAGACAGAGACTGCAGATGGCTATGTGGCAGATTTCCTGTTAGGAAGGCCCTGAACATAGCTAGCAAGTTAGTTGGTAGCCCTGGGGGACTACAAACGGTTCTTCACAGGTAGAGACAGTGACTCTAGGCGGGGCTTTTCTTACCCAGTGGTAGAGGCAAATGCTCAGTTACAGTTTCTGGTTCAGCACTCTATGTTGTTTTGTTTTTTTTTAAACACCTTTATTGTAACTATGTTTTTAATCTTTGTTACAATTCCTAAGGGCCTATAGGGCAAGATGTGCCTTCACTCCATCTGAAAAAATGGGGCTAACAGTGATTTCTACTATATGAGCTGGTGGCAAAGACAGCCCACCTGTTCTGCACCTATGTAACCTTAACTTATCTGAATAGAAGTGGATGAGGGGGAGGCACCTGCTAGACTCGTACTGCCGTCTGTAATCTAGACCAGCACAGTCGCTGAACCTAATGTCCCTTCCAAAGGTGGAAAAGTTAGGGTATGAATGGAGAAAAGGAAAAAAGGGAAAAAAATGGCTCAGAGCAAGAGATGATACCGTCTCTTAGCTCTATTATACCTCATGCCTGAAAGGGTGAAGCCAAATACTGTATCTCTGACATCCCTCCTGCTGTTTTTTTAAATTGAAGTATAGTTGGTTTACAATGTTGGGTTAGTTTCAGGTGTACAGCAAAATGATTCATTTATACATATGTGTGTATAGATCTATTCTTTTTTGGATTCTTTTTCATTATAGACTACTACAAGATACTGAATACTGTATAGCACAGGAAACTGTAAGTCCTTGTTATCTACTTTTTATATAGTAGTGTGTATCTTTTAACGCCAAACTCCTGATTTATCTCCTTGCCCCACACCCCCCACTATCCCCTTTGGTAACCAGAAGTTTGCTTTCTATGTCTCTGAGTCTATTTCTGTTTTCTAAATAAGTTCATTTGTACCCTTTTTTTTTTTTTTTTTTTTTACATATAAGTGATATGTATTTGTCTTTCTCTGTCTGACTTACTTCACTTAGTATGATAATCTCTAGGCCCATCCATGTTGCTGCAAATTCATTCTTTTTAATGGCCGAGTAATATTCCATTGTATATATGTACACCACATCTTCTTTATCTAGTCATCTGTTGATGAACATTTAGGTTGATTCCATGTCTTGGCGATTGTAAATAGTGCTGCTGTGAACACAGGGGTGCATGTATCTTTTCAAGTTAGAGTTTTTGTCTTTTCTAGGTATATGCCCAGGAGTTGGATTGCAGGATCATATGGTAGCTCTACTTTAGTTTTTTTTATGGACCCTCTATACTGTTCTCCATAATGGCTGTACCAATTTACATTCCCACCAACAATGCAGGAGAGTTCCCTTTTCTCCACACCCTCTCCAGCATTTATTATTTGTATACTTCTTGATGATGGCCATTCTGACTGGTGGGAGGTGATAACCTCATTGTGGTTTTGATTTGCATTTCTCTAATAATTATTGATGTTGAGCATCTTTCCATGTGCCTGTTGGTCATCTGTATGTCTTCTTTGAAGAAATGTCTCTTTGGGTCTTCTGCCCATTTTTTGATTGGGTTGTTTTTTCTGTGGTAGAGTTTTATGAGCTGTTTGTATATTTTGGAGATTAATCCCTGTTGGTTGCTTCCTTTGCAAATATTTTCTCCCATTCTGCGGGTTGTCTTCATTTTGTTCATGGTTTCCTTTGCTGTGCAAAAGCTTTTAAGTTTAATTAGGTCCCATTTGTTTATTTTTGGTTTTATTTCCATTACTCTGGGAGACGTATCCAAAAAAATATTGCTGTGATTTAATATCAAAGAGTCTTCTGCCTATGTGTTCCTCTAAGAGTTTTATAGTATCCAGTGTTACATTTAGGTCTTTAATCTACTTTTGAGTTTATTTTTGTACATGGTGTTAGAGAATGTTCTAATTTCATTCTTCTACATGTAGCTCTCTACTTTATCCAGCACCACTTATTGAAGAGACTATCTTTTCTCCATTGTATATCCTTACCTCCTTTGCTGTAGATAAACCGACACACCTGGGGTCAATTAATTTCCAGACTTTCTATCCTGTTACAGTAAATCTGTGTATTTTGTGCCAGTTTCATACTGTTTTGTTTCATACTGTTTTGATGACTGTAGCTTTGTGGCATAGTCTGAAGTCAGGGAGTGTGATTCCTCCAGCTTCATTCTTAAGATTGTTTGTTTTGGCTATTAGGGGTCTTTTGTGTTTCCAGTCAAATTTTAAAATTATTTGTTCTAGTTCTGTGAAAGATGCCATTGGTAATTTGATAGGGATTGCACTGAATCTGTAGATTGCCTTAGGTAGTATGGTCATTTTAACAATATTGACTCTTCTATCCAAAACCATGGTATCTTTCCATTTGTTTGTGTCATCTTCAATTTCTTTCATCAGTCTTAAACAGTTTTTGGAATACAGGTCTTTTGCCTCCTTACATAGGTTGATCCCTAGGTATCTTATTCATTTTGATGTGAATGGTTAAATGGGATTGTTTCCTTAATTTCCCTTTCTGAGAACTTCAGAAAACAATTTCCACTCCTGCTTTTGAATCCTGCAAACCCATGTGCCCTCATGCTGGGAGACATTCTCATGATATGACAATGTACTAAAACAGTAATGACAAACTGGGATGCCAGTAATGTGCCAGTATCATTTAACATTTATGACTGTTTTACTATAAGGGATCCATGTTCAAAGACCAGGGAGTAGATTGTGATATTTTGATTTATAAAATATTTATCTGGTCTTCAACATTGGTTTCTGGCATAGAGCTCCCAGGAACTTGGCTGGTTACCAAGGGAAGAGGGTTGGAACTTTCAGTCCTATTTACTCCTCCCTCCCAGGCCCCCTGCACCTCTGAAGAGGGGGACTGGAGGTTTAAATCAATCACCAATAGCCAATGATTTAATCATCATGCCCATCTAATGAGCCCTCCATAAAAACCTAAAAAGGGTAGGGTTTAGACAGTTTCTTGGTTGGTGAAGGTGTGGAACACTAGGAGAGGGTATGGAAGCTCCACCTCCTTTCTCCATAGCTTGCCCTATGCATCTCTTCCATCTGGCTGCTGCTGACTTACATCTTTTTATAATAAACCTGTGATCTAGGGTGATTCTGTGAGCTACTCTAGCAAATTAATCAAACCCAAAGAGCAGGTTATGAGAATCTCTGATTTTTCTCTGATATACAGCCAGTCAGTCAGAAGTTCAGGTAACAACCTGGACTTGTGACTGATAGGTGTCTGGAAAGGAGGGGTACAGGCAGTCTTATAGGACTGAGCCCTTAACCTGTAGGATCTGACACTATTTCTAGGCAGAAAGGTGTCAGAATTGAGTTGAATTATAGGATATCCAGCTGTTATAGAACTGTTAGGTGGCATGGGGAAAACTACCCCCCCACACCCTGGAATTCATTTCAGAACCCTTTTTAATGTTCTAATAAATATATTTCAAACTTTTATTAGTTTTACCATTTACTACTTAAGTGATACTATTATAATTTATTTTTTGGTTAGGTTACAAGCTAGTCTCACAGAATAAAATGGAAAACTTTCCATCTCTATGCATGAGAATCATGTATTCTTTGAACACCTTGTAGACCTCACAACACCATTAAAACTCTGGAGCTAGATGAAACTCTTGCATCAAAAGGCTTCACTAAGATAATTAGGTTAAATCATATGAAACTGCCAAAATTTGACTGGTTTTGACTTCAATGAGCAATTTTATATGGTTCAACCTAATGGTTATAAACTGCCATTGGTGATTCAAGAATATTTTCCTAGAAAATCAACTGTTTTCTGTAATTTTTCTAAATTATTGTATAACAGCATACCATCTTTTAATCACCTTCACATTGCAGTGAGTTTAATAGTACCATGTATAAAAATGTCTTCTTCAACTTCTGAAGAGAAATTTTGGTAAAATTATGGTATAAGTAAGTAAAGGTTCAATAAACTTAAAAATTCCAAGCATAAATTCTTATTCCCCACCTAACCTGTAAACGCCTAAGGCCACAGGTTGCTTTCAGGGGCTCTGTAAACATGTGAGCCAAATTTATATGTGAGTGCATACATCATACATGCATGCTCTTGGGGAAGAGCCCAGTAGCTTTAGCAAATTCTCAAATACCTAAAGTCCCAAATAACTTTAGAGTTTTGAAATGACATTTAACAAGGTACATACATAAAAATGTGATGGAAATTCTATTAAATGGAAGACAGGAAAAATACCACTTTAGAGTACAAGGATTTCAATGTAAACAAACTCTTACATTCTATTCCATTTAAGAAAGGATTAAAAGTACATAAAAATACAGAAGGAATGAAAACCATTTTATATTAATGCTAACATTCTTATGCTAACATTCTTCTGGAAACTATGTGGATAGGTAAGGTAAACATTTTTCAACAAACCGAAAAGACGTGACTTTCATCCAAGGTTTGTAAACTTCTAAATGTGTTTCTGCATGTTTTTAAAGATAAAACAAACTAAAGAGGAAGATGAGGACAAAGAAAAAGGAACTAGAGTAACAGCAGAAAATAAAATGTGAGATAAAGGAGCCAGTTAATGAAAGGTGAACATAAAACCAGAATAGGTAAATTTTTTTCCAATCACAAGGTAGTGAACACAATCATAGAGAGAAAACAATGAGAAAAAGAGCATTAACCATGTAATGGCTCATCTTGACAAAGACCGCCGGAAAACGAAAGTAGGGGGGTACTAAAAACAACATGGAAGGAATAGAAAATTGAAAAGCAAAGAGAAAAGGCTAAAAGGAAAAAGAGTGAAGCAAAATCAAGAATATACCATATTTCCAATGAAAAATCTTATTTTGAAAACAGTATTTCAGGTTTCTCTGAAGCATAATGAAAAAGAAAAGGATGAAACTAACCTGTTGTACAAATTCCAAGGGTACTGGTGTGGCTTGTGTAAATGCTTCTAGATGAATACCATGCACAGGGTCTTCAACTATCAGACAGCCAATGTCAAACCATCTGCAACAGAATGTATGAGTTTCACGTTGTGTATGTGCTAAATGAGTTATGGTGAATAGATAAAGTACTAACATTCAGATAAAACCAGATTGATTAGAAAAACATTTCCTTGAAATTTTCAAGAGGACAATCTATAAAACAACATATAAAATTACCCTGTTGGCTTAATTCAGAGAAGGAAAAAACAAAAAATGGGGAAATTGACAATTACTCATCATGGAAAGTTCCTTTTCTTGCTAAGATTTGGAGAAAAGAATGGCAATTAGGGGTGCTCAAATATGCAACAGATAAATCTACTCATTTGAAAATGCAAATAACATCATAATTAAAAATGTCACTTGCTAAAATATGGGAAAATTTATATTACCAACGCTGTGCCAAGTTGCAAAGTTGCAAAGTTACTATAAAAATAAACTCATTCAGGAAATAACAAATCCTCTCCTCATTCCTGACAATTCCTTCTAATCACACTTTCTGAATCGTTCACAACGAATCAGTCTTTGAAAACAGCCTCATGAAATCAAGAAAACTTTCTTCAATTTAAAAAGTGATAGTTAAAAACTGACTTAGGTGAGGTCATCTGTAACATCACTAGCATTTTAACTAGCCAGAATCAGGAAATCATGAGTTTAAATGGAAATCATGAGTTTAAATGACAAGATACAGAGCAAGAAAATTTTAAAATATACAGATTAAAGTGTGATGAAATACAATATGATTAGGAAACTTATTTACATATTCAAAGAAACAACAAAACAATATGTAGAATAACTTTGAGTGTTAAAATGGCAATTTATAATGTCTGTAGTATTCACATCCTAAAACTTTCCTTTAAATTAAGAACCTTATTTATTATATGAATCATTATTTTAAATAATTTATTTGGTATATGATGAATCAGTATTTTATTTTCCATGATTGGTGTATTATGCAGATGGCAGAGAATAACTGTAGTGACTAAGCTTCCAGGTACGGCACGGACATCCTGCAAAGCAGCACCCTGAAGGTACGAGCAGTCTCCCCTACAATGCCAGTGAGCACACGAGAAAAACTCCCCTTCCTCTCCAAACTACTGTCACGCTCCCGAGTGTGTCAACCCGGATATCCCATTCTTCTCATCTCAAATCTAAACTGCCGTCACTGTCATGCCCACCGAGACCGCTTCCATTTCCCTGACTAGTGCTATTGGCTGAGGAAACGCTGTCTTCTCCCTCCTTCCTCCCGTCCTTCCACCCCGCTCCCACTCCCCACCCAGCAGGAGGAAGAGTGGTGGTCTCCACTGTTCACACTCAAGGACAATTGCTAAGGCATGCTCTCCTTCTCCTCACCCGCTCCATGCAGTTGGGGATATAAGACAGACTCAACTAATCCTACATGAAAGCTACTTGGACTTAAAAAAGGCTTAAGAGTGGTGGTTCCAAGACATTTAGATTTCATGTAGCAGAAAACGATCAAAATAGCACCTGAGGAGCTGACACAGGTATGCCGATTTGTATTTTATCCAAGAAAGACCATCCACTACCACCAGTCACTTCACAGAAGGACATTTTAACCCATTTCACACATAACCCTTGGTTTTAGAACTTGATAGGTTAATCTCAGAATAAGGACAGTTCTCAGAATAAGGACAATTCATGTTTACACAGGTTATTTTTCCATTCTGGTATAAAACATGCTAATTTCCCTCATGTAGCATGAACTGATGCAAAGTTTATCACAAATAGCTAGGTCTATACTGGCTTTACTATTAGGAGGCAAACACCAATGGTCTTTTCTTGACTCAGTTATAAGCATGTACTTTCCTGACTTTATCTTCTGTGCATTTATCTTTCATGGGAACACCACAGAGAGAAGTAGCCAAAGCAAACTATCAAGTGTTTTGCGTCACGGGTTTGCTGTTTGTTCTCATGTCCTTCCTCTAATCCCCTTCTGTATCTTAATATTACAGCCTTTTCATCCTCTGCTCCTTAAACCATACTGGAAACCATCCACAGCCTTCCTACATTTACTATTCCTAATCTTCCTTATTTGCTAGTCTTCTGCTCAAAAAAAGGTAGGAAAAATAGCACATCTAGGTATGATGGAGCAGTTGATGGCAGACCAGTGCTCCCAATGAAAAGCTGGATGAGTATACAAGTCATATCTAATGGCAACCAAGAGCTGTAGAAGCAAGGAAGACAAAATGGAGTAACATTCTGGACAGGTACAACCTTTCAAAGGTATGCTGAAGACTTTCAGCTGACCCTGAGCACAACCCAGCCGGGACTCAGGTCAGTCTATCTAAAGTGCACCAAACTACCCCTTCCACACACCTCACTACTCTGTTTATTAGAGGGAAGAGTGAACCTTGTCAAAATTACCTCAAGACTCTTGAGTTTCTTATAAACAATGCCTGGCTTTCAAAGATTATGAGGCATCCACAAAGACAGCACCTTATCGTCACACCAAAAGGAGGCTAAAAGAGGCCCACACACTGGATTCAGTAGACAAAGATCTTAAAATAAATATGACTCATAGTCAAGGAAAGAGAGAGGTAAAGAGAGTCGAAATAGAAAATATAGGTATAAATCTACTTTTAAAAAAAAATCAGTGTATGGGCTACACAGCACAAGACAGGTAAACAGAAGATACTCGAACTAAAGAACAGAGAGAAAAGTCAGAGTGAAGAAGTAGGGGAAAGAGGGGACTGACCAAATGAGAACTCTGAGGCACAGTCAGAAGGTGAACAAGCATGTAATTATAGTCCTAGAAAGAGAAGAGAGAAAACGGGCCAGAAGCCAATTCTGAAGATACAATGGCCAAGAACTTTCCAAAACTGATAAAGACATAAATCCAATGAAAGAAAGAATGAAGCTCAGGGAATCCACAAAAATTCAATACCTAAGCAAACACACACCCCTGTACATACCATAAAACTGCAAAAATAAAATGAAAGAAAAAATCCTAAATGCAGCTAAACAATACACTCACAGAAACAAGCTGGATAGCTGATGTAACAGAAATGATGGAAGCCAGAAAACAGTACAACAGCATCTTTAAAGTACTGAAAGAAAAGATCTGCCAATCCAGACTTCTACATCCAGAAAAAAACACCCTGTGAAAATAAAGGTGCTTTAAAGGCACTTTCAGACAAAAGCTGAGAGAACTCCTGGCTAAAGTCTTCCATCACAATGTATATAGTACCAAAGGATGCTCTTCAGGCAGAAGGAAAATGATCCCAGACAGAAAAACCAAAAATGCAGTAAAGAATTCAGAGAATAAATATAAGTGAATAGAGTGTACAGAACTATACTAATGTCTTAGGAGTTTAAAATATATACACAATTAAGACACTTAACAATACTGTAAAAGATGAAGGGGATAAATGGTATTGAAAGTAGTTCAGTATTATCAAAGTCATAATTTTTATTAAAACATAATACATGGAAAAAGGCACAATGGAATCTCTAAGGTAGCCCTTAAATGAATATTTCATTTTCCCCCTCTGTTAACCTTTTAATATTCATCATCACTGGATGGTTGCTTGGTGCTTACACAGAAAGTTCAAACTTCCCAACCTAGCAATCAAAGCTCTTCAGTCTGTCCCCAAACTACTTTTTGATTTCCTATCCAACAGTGTTCAGCCAAGCTGATAAAAATCACTGACCCCAGAATACATCTTAAGCATCTTCACACTTTTCCTCCATGCAGAATGTCCTAGCTATTCTTTTCTACTTAACCAAATTTTACCTACTCTTCAAAATTCAGCTCAAGTCCCAATCACTCACGAATCTTATCTGACACCATCTCCACATCAAGTTAATTCCACTGAAAATGCACATAGCATTTTATGTACAGCCCACGTGCAGCAACAAAGACCCAATGCAGCCAAGAATTTAAAAAATAAAAAAATATGTTCCTCTACTGACAGGTGTTTGGTGATACCTATCAGTGTGAAAAGATATTAAAACAAAAATGATGAATTATGTTGCTGGAGGTTTTTCCCAAACTAAATAGATGAGAGGTAGTGTTCAACAGAACTCAAACCTAGTGACTGCCTCCAGGCCCTCTTGCCATACCTTCCATTACTCTGAATGACTGTGTAAATGATTGTTACTGGAGGTCAACATCCAAGCCAATAACTAAATCACTGTATCATATGTAATTGATTATTAACACAATCTTAGCATGCAGGGAATACAATGTCCATTTTATAATTAAAAAGGAGAAACGAGTAGAAATGTGAGCTGAGCTACACAGGTCACATAGTTAGATGATAGAGCTAGACCAGAACGTAATTTTCTCTCTGGTTCTAAAATAGGAGACATTTTTTTACTAGATATTCAGTGTAAGCAATCATATTTTGCTCCTAAGAGAAACATAATAAGCCTCTTACTGAACCATTATACACCAACAAACTGGACAACCTAGTAGAAATGCATAAATTCCTAAAAACGCACAACCTGAATCAAAAGAATCAGAAAATCTAAACAAATGGATTACTTGTAAGGAGACCGACTCAGTAATCAAAAACCTCCCAACACACAAAAGTCCAGAACCAGATGGTGTCACTGGTGAATTCTACCAAAGATTTAGAGAAGAATTAATACCAATCTTTCTCAAACTCTTCCAAAAAATAGAAGATGAGACACACTTCCAAACTCGTTTTACAAGGCCAGCATTACCCTGATACCAAACCCAGACAAGGACACTACACAGAAGAAAATTAAAGGCCCAATATCCCTGAAAAACAGAGATGTAAAAATCCTCAGTGAAATACTAGCAAACCGAATTCTACAATGCATTAAAAGGATCTATACCATAATCAAGTGTGATTTACTCCAGGGATGCAAGGATGGTTCAAAATGTGCCAATAAATCAATGTGCTACACCACATTAACAAAATGAAAGATAAAATCATATGATCACGTCAACAGAGCTATAAAAAGTACTGGACAAAATTCGACACCCATTAATGACAAAAACTCTCAACAGAGTGGATACAGAAGGAACACACCTCAACATAAAGTAATATATGGCAAGCCCACAGCTAATATACTCAACAGTGAAAAGCTAAAAAGCTTTTACCTCTAAGATCAAGACAAGAATGCCCACTCTTCCCACTTTTATTTAGCATGGTATTGAAAGTCCTAGTCAGAGTAATTAGGCAAGAAAAAAAATGCATCCAAATCAGAAAGGAAGAAGTAAAACTGTCACTATTTGCACATGACATATTATATATAGAAAAGCCTAAAGCCACCACCAAAAAACTGTTAAATTCAGTAAAGTTGCAGGATACAAATTCAATACCCCAAAATTTGCTGTATTTCTATACACTAATAGCAAACTATCAGAAGAAAAAATTTTTAAATACCATTTACAATTACATCAAAAAGAATAAAAGAGTTAGGAATATATTTAACCAAGCAGGTGAAAGATGTCTACTCTAAAAACTGTAAGACATTGATGAAAGAAACTAAAGACGACACAAATAAATGGAAATATATTGCATGCCCATGGACTAGCAGAATGAACATTATTAAAATGTTCCTATTACCCAAAGGAAGCTACAGACTCAATGCAATCCCTATCAAAATTCCAATGATATTTTCCACAGAAATAAAACAAACAATCCTAAAATTTGTATGCAACCACAAGACCCTGAATAGCCAAAGCAAATCTTGAGAAAGCAGAGCAAAGCTGGAGGCAACATGCTCCCTGATGTCAAATTATAATACATAGCAACAGTAATCAAACCAGTATGGTACTTGCATAAAAAACAAAAATATAGATCAATGCAATAGAGTCCAGAAATAAACCCATGCATTTATGGCCAATTAATTTATGACAAAACAGCCAGGAATATGCAATGGGGAAAGGACAGTCTCTTCAATAAATGGTGCTGGGAAAACTGGACCACAATTTCACACCAGAGATAAAAATTAATCAAAATGTATTAAATATTTGAGCATAGCATCTGAAACCATAAAAAACTCCTAGAAGAAAACATAGGCAGTAAGCTCCTTGATATCTGTTGTGGCAATGATGTTTTTTTGGGTTTGACACCGAAAGCAAACACAACAAAATCAAAAACAAGTGGGACTACATCAAACTAAAACGTTTCTGCACAGCAAAGGAAACGAAAAGGAAACCTACCAAATGACAATACCTGCAAATCATATCTGATATGGGGCTAATATCCAAAATATATAAAGAACTCATACTAATCAACAGCAAAAACCAAACAATCCAATAAAAAAAAATGGGAGAAGGGCTTCCCTGGTGGCACAGTGGTTGAGAGTCTGCCTGCCGATGCAGGGGACATGGGTTCGTGTCCCGGTCTGAGAAGATCCCACTTGCCGCGGAGCGACTAGGCCCGTGAGCCATGGCTTCTGAGCCTGTGCTCCACAACCGGAGAGGCCACAACAGTGAGAGGCCCGTGGCCCAAAAAAAAAAAAAAAAAAAAAAATGGGGAGAAGATCTGATTAGCCTCCTTTACCAAAGAAGACATACAGATGGCCATACGTGAAAAGGTGCTCAACGTCACTAATCCTCCAGGGAAATGCTAATCAAAACCACAATAAGATAACACCTTAGAACGGCTATTATCAAAAAAACAAGAAATAACAAGTGTTGACGAAGAGGTGGAGAAAAGGGAACACTTGTGCACTGTGGGTGGGACTGTAAATTGGTACAACCACTATGGAAAACAGTATGGAGGTTCCTCACAAACTGAACTACCAAATAATCCATAAATTTCACTTCTGGGTATTTATCCAAAGGAAACGAAAATACTAACTCAACAAGACATATGCATCCCCCTGTTCACTACAGCATTATTTCCAACAACTGAGGCATGGAAGCCACTTAAATGTCTGCTGATGATAAAGAAAATGTGATTTATACACACACTCACACATATATATGTACGTATATATACAATGAAATATTATTCCATGGAAAAGGAAGGAAAACCTTGCCATTTGCAGCAACGTGTATGGACACTGAAGTCATTAAGCTAAGCAAAGTCAGTCAAATAGAGAAAGACAAATACTGTATGATCTCACATGTGGGGGGAAAAGCAAACTCACAGATACAAAGGACAGATTGGTGGATGCAGAGGCAGGGGTGGGAGGGGGAGTAAAATGGATAAAGGGGATTAAAAGGTACAAACTTCCAGTTGTCATGAGAATATAATGTACAGCATGGTGACTATAGTTAATAATACTTTTTGTACATTTGAAAGTTGCTAAGAGAATAGATCTTGTCTTGTAAGTTCTCTAAAAAAATTATAACTATGTTAAAAAAAAAAATCCTCTTACTTGTCAGGAAGCAATTCTGCAATGAAGTTTTCTACTGACACAGCAGTCTGTTTTTCATGGATCACTCCAGTTCGACGCAAGCTATCTATCCGTTCCTGGGCACCCTGAAACAGTGTACGTTAGAAACTATTTTAAATTATTTGGTTTTAAACATACTAATTTATGACTGTATAAGTAATATGCGTATACATTTATACACAAACACATATATACTCACTGTAAACATGAAAACAATACAGAAGCATAGAGAGTAAAAAGTGAAAAAGCCCCACTGTATTCCCCTCAGTATTAAGAGTCTGCAACGCATCTTCCAAATTATTCCTATACGCATTATTATTTTGGTTGCTATCATGAAATGGATAATTTTTATATTTCATGTTCTAATTGGTTATTACTAATATAAGGAAACTATGTGCTTTTTAATGTTGATCTGGCAAGAGGCCATCTTACTAAATAAAAATCATTTATCAATTCTAGTAGTTTTTTAGTTGATTCTCTCTTGAATTTTCTAGGCAGGCAATCATGTCAATAGCAAATATGTTTTTTCTCTTTCTTCTGATTCTTTTTATATATAGCCTTTAAAGTTTGCACCAAAATAACAGTTATTTTAACTTCAAATGTATGCATTACATCAAAGCTTATTCAAGAAAATTAGTACCATTTATGAAACAAAATGAGGGGCTGAGAACACTATATAGATAACTCAAAATCATGAATTAAATATATACTTATGGCAGAAAACTAAAAGCTGGATTAAGGAGGACAAGGTTGTTGTTTACTACTTTTATTTGAATCACTTCATAAAAGTGATCATGAATGATATGATGAGAATGTGTTCAAAAAGCAAGATAAAACTATTTCTGAATAAAACTAGTCATGGATAATACCCCTATTTTTATCATTAACAGCAGAGCTAAGCAGTGAATGAGATTAAGGGGTCAATTCTTCTTCAAATGAAAATTAAGAAAGCTAGGATACTTCTAGAGACAACTGAATTTACTTCAGAGACAACTAAAATAAAGAAGTGAGAACTGTATGAGAACATGTAGGCCAATTTGTCATTAGCTTATAAACATGAACGATGAAAGAAGATATGAGTTAAACTACAATAAAATCAAGCTGTATTTTTGCTTACTCTTGTATCTCTGGTACCTAGCATAGTGTCTAACCTAATAGGCAGCCAGTGAGAGCTTACTACATGAAAAAGTGAACAAGGGAAAAACTAAGGGCTCCTGAAGGCCTATATTAGGAATCTAAAGAGTGTAAATATGGCATCACCAAATCTAATAGTGAATGAGGAGGTCACTGTTGAATCTGAAAGAAAATACAATAGCTAAGATGAACTTAATTCTTTGTACTGGATAATGTAAATCTGTTCTAAAATTTGGGAGGAGTAAAATAATTCCCTCCTCCCAAAAGGTAGTTATGTCTAATTTTTACTATAAAGAAGTTTAATAAATGTTAATTCAGTAAAAAAAACTATTAGGGGATTGGTGGGATGTTTAGAGATTCATCTGCAACTCTTCAAAGGTGCTATCTCAGCTACACACTACAACAAAATATTCCTAGGTTTTATGCTCCCAGGAAACAGAAACTAAGTTGGTTCATTTTTTACTATCCTACAGCACAGGGCTTTATACTTCATAGGGTTCACAAAATATTGAACTGAAATTAATCAGCACCTATAAAAGATAGGATAATAAGTTAGGTAGACAAGTGTAATGCTTGTTTTTATGGAATCCAGAAGAGAAAATGAAGAGGGGGAATATCAGCTTCTTTCCTCCTCTGACCACAACATTACTTAAATGTGGCATCTTTTGGCGTCACAGAGACACTTTGATATTAGTCGCTACCAATGTTTTGAGAAGGGAATTTTAACTTTATCTTTCAGCAGTGTAGGGTATCAAAAATTAGGTAGTTTAGAGGCCACACACTGAAGTAACTGTCTCAGAACCGAAGTAAGATGCAGAAATGCCTCTAGAGCTTATACTGTACTCTGAGAGCTTATACTAAGCAACTTGGTTCAGATAATCAAAGTTCCATGCTTCTTCATAAATTCTTACAGATATTAACTACATTTTTCTTGACTATAAGCTATAAATCAATGGTCATAAATATAAGTGGCTTTTCAGTAAAATTAATACTTGGCATTGGAGAAGTTTCAGAAGCTTCCTAACTTTAATTACAGCTGATTTATTTCCTTAAACAATTTCGTATGTTTAAAGGAAAACTTAAGTTTAGTCAAAAAAGACATTCACTTCGAATAAAATCTGATGGGGAGAAAAAAATCTGGGTTGAAATTTTAATATTCTACATTATTTTCTTTTTGTTAGTTCCCTCTACTGTTTCTAAAAAAAACAAACAGCTGGGAAAATTACAAATCACTTTCCTATATATATCTGTTTCAATGAATTTTAATTTTAAGCTTGTATTAAAGATTGTGGAAAAGGAACACTTTTCTAAATTTGAAGGGCAAAAACCAATACTAAAACAAATCTGTCAAATACTAATAAAATCACAATATAAACTGAACTATTAATATTCAGAAAATAAGATTTTTCTTACAGAAAAAAATCTCCATCAGCCTTTCAAGTTCAGTTTATACCGATCTGAAGTGTCTTTTACGCAATATTTAACATAAAATATTTAAGACTCATGTTTTAAAAACCATGAAATTCTGAGTTATGTTCCAAAAATCATGTGGTGATCTATCATCAGAAATTATGAATGACAACTCTCAGTTTTTTTGAGAACAATTAGAAACCACAGGACTTGCAAGAAGATTTTACCGAGTCATTATGTCATTTGCATTCTTAATATCTAAAACATTATTTTGAATTGTCCCTTCATATGACACTCAGGAGGATTTTAGGTTCCGAGGCAATCAGTGGGTGAGCGGTATATCTTTATTTTCCAATGGGAGAGGTCAGAGCTTATGAAGAGGAGATGAGAAAGGAGATGGCACGTTGCCTCCATTACAAGTATGTATTCAGGCAGAAAATTTTAGGAAATACATATGGAAGTTGAGGAAGGAGAAGCTGAGTTCCTGAAAACTATCTGGGTCTACCTGGACCTGGTAAAATCTTTGCATGTCACCAGAGGTACTTATACACAAGTCTGAAGACCACAGTTTGATGGTAAAGGTACTATCAGAGTATAGCAACAGGTGGGCAGCTAGAGCTCTGTTAAGGGAAAAATCTCTATTCTCATATGGCTGACATGTTGTTAAACCAAAATTCAAAACAGATCCCAGAGGGAAAACATCTTCTGCATTAGACTGCTTACTTGAGGAAATAAATTATTAATTTAAAAAGTTTACCCTAGCACTTTAAATTCTATTGTTTGGGGTTTTGTACCAAGATATCTCGAAAGGACTGCTAGATATTCATTTTAAAGAACATGAAGCACTATTCTAAAAGTTTATATCTGTAAACAAAACAAAGATCTCTGCTCTTGTAGAACTTAATTCTAGTGGGAAAAAAGCATTAAAAAATAAAAATAACATCAACATAAATTATATGGTAAATCCGAGGATGCTGGCTACTATAGGAGAAAGATCAGAGGAGGGCTAGAGGGATCAGGAGTGCAGGGCAGGTAGGTGCAGACTGCAGTACTGAACAGGGCGGTCAGGACAGGCCCCACTGTGGAGGGAAGATGTTAGTGAAGACTTGAAGGAGGTCAGGGACTCAACCAAATAGATATCTGAGGAAAGAG